TGGACGTGTGAACATAGCTTGTGAAATGCCCCACTTGACTGGGGAACTTCACACGCAAGGGGGAACAGAGTGGGCAGGCCAGCTAGGGTGGCATAACCCAACTCCAGTCACTGCTGCCAGCTGTGAACGTCAACTTGGTCGTCACATCTCTCTTTCTCCTCCCTTCTCCCTCTTCACCCAACATAATCTAAACATCTAGATTTGTATGTAAAAAGTCCTGATTTTTAAAATGTTGACAGCTGGTTCATATACTCAAAAATTACAATGCAGAACAAATAAATATGTCTATCTGCTTGCAAGATGAACCTACCAGAGGAGTCAACAGTTAGGGATCCTGACCCAAAGTAAGATACCCCCAACAGCCTCACTAGATGTGGGACGTGGTGATCTGGAGTGGGTATGGAGGCTGGCTCTCTGGTTTTGGATTTGGACATGAGGCCACGTCATGCATTGGGATAGGTGATATATAGGAAGGAATAAACCAAGGAGAAGCATGAGTTTTGTTTGGGACGTGCTGATGTTGCACATGGGACATCCACTAAGAGAAACTTAGCCTGGAGACACAGATTTCAGACACAGGCACATCATAATGAGGTAGTGGTAGAAAGAGTGGGAATAGTGGTGATGATCCAGGGAAAGCCAATGGAACAATCAGAAAACTGTGGGTAACACCCTGATAAACACTAATATTCGATGATGAGGATGTGTGGGAGAAAGTTCTTAAAGGAGGATGAAAAGAAACATGCAGAGAAGTGAGAGAAGAATAAGGACATTTTAGTATCAAGGAGTGTGAAGAAGAAACAAGGTTTAAGGAGAGAACTCATCTATGAGTTGACATATCAACTATGTCTCGTGTTGCAGAAATCTCAAGCCAGTCAAGGGCAGAACCGTACCCATGGGACTTAGTCATAACATGTCACTGGAAACACTATAGTGCATAAAACCCAATGGGATTTGGGGGTCAGACCTGAGTTTGGAATCTGGTTTTGCCACTTAAAGCATCACCTTGGACAGCAAAAACCTCTCAAAATCTCAGTTTTCTCATCCATAAAATGGGGATCATAATACCTACATCACATGGCTTTTATGAGGATTTGTAGTAAGCAAAATAAAGCCCCCATCCTCATGTAGCTTATGTGGGAGAGGTCGTCAATAAAGAAGTATACAAATAAATACTTAATTACAGGTAGCAATTTTTTAAAGAGCGGAAAGAAGAAAGTGGTATAGAACATTAGAGAGTAATTGGAGGAGTGGGTAGTCTCTATTTTAACCTGGTAGAGATGTTACCTCCAAGAAGGTGACATTTGAGCTGAAACTTGAAGGAAAAGGGAGAAAGACATTTGATGGTCTGGGTGAAGTGTAAAGGTTCTGAGGTGGGAAGGGGTTTGGCATGTTCCAGATTTCAGGAAAACCTGTGTGGCTACGGTGGGGTGGGGAAGCATAAGGGTTGACTTCAGAAGTTGAGCAGACCACACAAGGGGACTGGGATTTCGACTAAGAATAATAAGGAGCCATCGGAGAGTTCTGAGTATGGAGGCGATGCGCAACGAGTTATGTTGTGAGAGCTCCCTCTGGGTTCTGTGTAGAGAACAGAATGGGGGGGACAGCAGTAGAAGCTGTAATAGGATGCTACTACTGGGCTTGGAAGACATGAAAGGGGCTTGGACGAGGTTGCAGTTGGGGAGATTTAGGATGTATTTCCAATGTAGACTTAACAGGATTAGCTAAGGGACTGGATAGGAAGTTTGAAGATTTGACTTTTATTTATTTATTTTTTTTTTCAATGTTTATTTTTATTTTTGGGACAGAGAGAGACAGAGCATGAACAGGGGAGGGGCAGAGAGAGAGGGAGACACAGAATCGGAAACAGGCTCCAGGCTCTGGGCCATCAGCCCAGAGCCCGACGCGGGGCTCGAACTCACGGACCGCGAGATCGTGACCTGGCTGAAGTCGGACGCTTAACCGACTGCGCCACCCAGGCGCCCCGATTGACTTTTAGATATTGGGCCTAAGCAATGGAGTGGATGGTGATGTCATTTCCTGAGATGGGGAAGAGCTGTTGAAGGGTGGTGTAGAATAAGAGTCCTGTTCTGGACACGTTAAGTTTGAGAGGCCTAATGGACACCCAGGTGGGAAGTTAAGTTATGCTTTGGGGATCTGAGGGGAAAAGAGGCCAGAGATACAAATCTTGGAATCATGAGCGCAGCGGGGCTGGATGTGATCGCTCAAGGAATGAATGTAGGGCCTGTGACTGAGCTCTCCAAAGTTTAGAGGTGAGGAGGAGGGACAGCCAGCAAAGGTGACAAAGAGTAGCACCAGCAAAACCAGGAGACTGGAGCATGGTGACCCGGAGGCTAAGTGGACAAAGTCTTTTCAAAGGGAAGGAGTCAACAATTCTGTCAGGTGCTACAGAGAAGTTGAGTGTGATGAGTTTGGGGGCTGTATTTGACTTTCAAGATCATCGGATTTGACCTTCAAGAGGAAGGTCACTCACCATCTGGAAACGAACAGTTTCCTTGGATTCACGGACACAGAAGCCTGTTTGCAATGGGTGAAGGAGTAAACAGTAAGGGCAGCAGTGGAAGCAACGGGTCTAGTGTGCTTACCGTTAACACGTAGGAATAGCTGCTATGGGCGCCGTACTAGCCCCTAAAAATTTTATGCAGAGGTCTGCGTGTATGGGACAAGCTGTGCTCTCCAGAAAGAGAAGTGATCGCTTTCATCGTGTATTCAAAGGAGTCTGTCACTGTCACTGGAAACCCTGCAGTAGGAGGCTCAGTGGCTGGCCCAGAGCGACAACACTCAGACTAAGCACCCTCCCTGTGCCAGTTCCCTGTTGTGGCCAAGGACACAGGGCTGCCAGCCTTATTC